GTCAGAGTTGAACACCAGCCTGAGCAAGAGTGAGACCCCGTCTCTACTATATAAAAATAGAAAGAAATTAATTGGCAACTAATATATATAGAAAAATTAGCGGGCATGGTGGCGCATGCCTGTAGCCCCAGCTACCTTGGGAGCTGAGCAGGATTATTGCCTGAGCCCAGGAGTTTGAGGTTGCTGTGTGAGCTAGGCTGATGCACGGCACTCACTCTACCTGGCAACAAACGTGAGACTCTGTCTCAAAAAAAAAAGAAAAAGAAAAAGGCAAATTGCTGGCATGTAAATATATACAGTATATTAGATGAAGTACCTGCATTTTCTCTTTATTCTTAGTCAGAATCAGGGTGGTCACTGATGGATCCAGGGAGGTGGCTTTGTCTCTTCCAATTAACTGTGTCTAAAGTAAATGAACAAATCCTCACTAAATTTTCCACTTGAACAAGGGTGATTATATGGAATTTACATTATTTGTTTGCTTTTTATTCATACATGTTGATTCATTATGATACTCTAACACAAAAAGAGAGGCAAGACAAATAACAATTCAAAGAAAAGAAGGAAAGGGAACTAAATTCTGACCATATGCCATATACTTAACATAGTTTGCATCTATTCTACAAAACCTAGGATTGACATTCTCACCATAATACTTTAGATGCAGAATTGAATCCAGTATTTGTTCAATGTTGCATTCCCAACATCCAATAAAGGCCTTGGGATGAAGTGGGTACATAATAAAATTTGTTGATAATGTAGATGGATAGATGGATGGATGAATGGATGGCAAAGCAGCCTGTTGTTATATTCCTGATTTATAATCACAAATCACCAATATTTGATATCAGACTTCAGTGGTGTTCTGATCAAAGAAAGTCAGTGTCTCCCCAATTTATTTTGTTTATTTTTTATTTTTTTTTTTGAGACAGAGTCTCATTTGTTGCCTAGGCTGGTGTCAGCCTAGCTCACACGCAACCTCCAACTCCTGGCTCAAGCAATCCTTCTGCTCAGCCTCCCGATACCTGGGGACTACAGGCATGTGCCACCATACCTGGCTAATTTTTTCATAATTATTTTAGTTGTCCAGCTAAATTTCCTTTCTATTTTTAGTAGAGGACAGGGTCTCACTCTTGCTCAGGCTGGTCTCAAACTCCTGAGCTCAAATGATCCTCTTGCTTTGGCTCCCAGAGCTAGGATTACAGGTTTGAGCCACCTCCACTGGCCAACACCCAATTTTTTTTTTTTTTTTTTTGAGACAGAGTCCACTTGTTGCCCAGGCTAGAGTGAATGCTGTGGCGTCAGCCTAGCTCACCAGCAACCTCAAACTCCTGGCTCAAGCTACCCTCCTGCCTCAGCCTCCCAAGTAGCTTGAAATATTTGCTATTTTTAGAAGAGACAGGGTCTTGCTCTTGCTCTTGCTCAGGCTTGCGTCACCATGCCTGCTAATTTATTATATATATATTAGTTGGCCAATTAATTTCTTTCTATTTATAGCAGAGATGGGGTCTCGCTCTTGCTCAGACTGGTTTCAAACTCCTGACCTCAAGCAATCCACCCACCTCGGCCTCCCAGAGTGCTAGGATTACAGGTGTGAGCCACCACGCCGGGACCCAACCCCTAATTTTAATTTTCCCTTGCTCTCAGTAGCACTGACTGGTAAGGGTGACTATTGGCTATTGCATTTTTCACCCTGTGGGTAAGATGTGCTAATTGGAGAAATCAGGAGAACCTGTGTGACAAAGAGTCAAACAAAAATACTACCTCATTTAACCTTGGTTTTTCATTTTTCACTGTTGAAGAATGGGAATTCTCTGAATTTTTTAAAAAGGTAGGCTGCTTTTGCAGAGTAGAAGCATATCCTGCTCTTTCCTAGAAGGAATGAATGAAAAGAGAATCTTTTTTAATTGATCCATTCATAATTGACCCAATTCTCCCAACAGCAAAATTACCAGCTCTGAAAGCACTTTCGTCCTTAGCAAATGGTACAATGTGAGTGTGGCAGCCCAGAGAAAGACTAAGAGGGAGCTGTGCAGTGTCCTTTACCTGGACCAGGCTTGCTTCCACAGTCACCTATCCACTCAGACTAGCTATAGTCACCATTCTCTGAGTACCATCTCTTTCCTCTAGAAATCCAGACTTGGTCTAAATCCAGCCTTGCTATGCCAGAGTGTAGGAGAGGATCAGTGGGCCAAGGCCGAAACCTGCTCAGAGATGTCCAGAAGACTCATGGAAGGGCTCTGACCTCAAAATAGAAAGTCTTCCCCTGTCCCAGTCTCCATTCCCCTCTGGTTTGGAGTAAACTTTAACCTCTTTTCTTGCTCCATGGAATACTCTGTGATCAGACAGTAGAAATAGGTAGCAGGGCTTTCTTACTGGGGTTTCTTCTGTTAACTTTAACTCCTGCATCAAATTATTTTTCTGATACTGCTCATTTCGCTGTTTCCTAGTCTGAAGTGGCTTCTTTTTTTTCTTCTTAAGCGCCTTCTTCTTCTGATTCAACTATTCCAGAAATAGAGAAACTGGTCACTGAGGATTCCAGAGCTATATCCACCACATGTGGCACACTTTTCACACAACATTCAAGACATAAAGGCTATCAGGGGTGGGTAATCCACAGCCTTGGAGGCACATGTGGCCTTCTGGATCCTTGGGTACAGCCTTTTGACTGAATTCAAATTTTATAGAACAAATCCATTTAATAAAGGACTTGTTGTGGACTTGGTTGATGGCCTGCATTTGGAGATCTGGAGGGCCACCTGTGGCCTGGAGGCCACAGGTTCTCTAGGGAACGAACATCTCAGTTACCTCCTTACTAGAAGCTGCTCCCTACTTAACACACCCAAATCCCACTATTACAGATACACTGCCAAAGGGGGACATATACCAATAAACAAATATCTGTCATTTATAATATAAAACCAGATTACTTATGGCAATAATGTCAGGTACAGATAACACTGATCATTAGATATGTGGTCAAACTGATCATTAGTTTGGTTGTTTACCATAAGGTGGCTTTAATAATTAAGCGAGAAAGTTATTATTTTTTCTTCTTGTTTTTCTTTACTTTTCTATTTTTTTTGAGACAGGGTCTTACTCTGCTGCCCATGCAGTGGCATCATCATAGCTCACTGCAGTCTCTGACTCCTGGGCTCAAGCAATCCTCCTGCCCCAGCTTGCCAAGTAGCTAGGACTATAGGTATGTGCCACCATGCCTTGCTAATTTTTGTATTTTTTGTAGACATGGGGTCTCACTCTTACTCAGGCTGGTCTAGAACTCCTGGCCTCAAGCAATCCTCCTGCTTTAGCCTCCCAAAGTGCTAGGATTATAGGCATGAGCCACTGCACCCAGGCCAAGCAAGAAAGTTATAAAGGACAAAATAAAAGACTTCAGGACAAGGTGACCAGTTAGGATACTATTGCTATATTTTCTGTAGATCTTAGGAGAGTTGGAAAATTTCACCAAATTATTGAGTAGTAGTATGATTTTTTTAAGGCTGCTACTTCCTGGGTGTAAAGTTAATATAATCTCACCTCGTCTGCTATGTTCAGTAGGTGAACAGGAAGACCATCTGAGAGAGAGCTGTCAGAACCACTGGTGCTGTTTCCAAAAGAAAAAAAAAAAGGGAAATAACTATCATTAACATGACAGTTAATATGTCTAGCAAGTATAACATTTGCCAGACCAGCGCATAGGATCAGGATATTTAGTCCACTATTTGCCTCATTGTCTATGCTTCAATTACTAAGAATTCTTGATAAGCACATTCATTTATTCACTCTGAACACCTCCTGCATGCCAGGAAGTGCTTTGGGCACAAAGAACACAGATAAACAAGGCAGAACCCCGACAGCAAGGAGTTCACAATCCATGCAGCAAAGCAAATACTGGACAGATGGGTAAAGTTGCCCTTGGCAGAGTTTGTGAGGGGCCATGGGATTCTCAAGAATCATAGAGAACAGCAGGGGACTGTGATTTGTTTGAGAGCAGGGGATTTTTCTCATTCACTCCTGTCAGACTGGTATCAGTTCAGAGAGCCAGGGTCCTACCAGGTACTCTGTAAAAATGTATTAAATACATAAACATGGGGAAGGAAAAGAGGAGTAAAAACCTACCTAACAGGTACAATGAATAATATTCAGGTGACAGGCACACTTACAGCCCTAACTAAAGCATTATAAAACTATCCATGTAACAAAAATATTGGTACCCCTTAATATTTTGAAATGAAAAAAAAAATTAAAAAAATAAAGGAGCCAAAATGAGAAAAACAAACAAAAATAAATAAATGTATAAACAAATAAATTTAATAAAGAATCTGCAGGTCAGAGATCAAGAGTATGACTTTTATCATCCCAATCCTACCTTCAAACATTTGGATACATATCTAGACTAATCTAAAGTCTTCCCTTACAAACAGTTTCCTCCCTCTTTCTGTAAGGGCAAGAATTAATGCCAACTAAGATAATCAATTCTTTCTTTCTTTATCATGTCCTTTGCTTAAGTGTAAAATTATGTTTTCCCTTCCCTGGGGTTTGGTTAGCTAGAACAGAGAGCTGTACTGTATGATAGGGGCTCTACATATAAAAAGTTTCTTAAGCACAGAATTCAAATCACATGAGAAAAGTGAGCATTTCAAACCATCGTTTTGCCCAGCCCTTCATTCCGTTTACGTTCCCCTCAATGCACAATAAGGAGTCCTACAGCAAGACATCAGAAACAAAGCCCTATCCTCTCTCATCTAATTCCCAATTCTCACAAGGCTTTTCCAGGCAAAGAGAAGCCTTTGAGGCCACTGTATAGTAGCTTCTTTCTTTTTTTTTTTTAACTCAGTTCCCATAGGGACTGCCAAAAATTGCCAATGCTGACTATATTGCAAGTCATATGGTGGAGTATCGGGAAAAATTTTCAATTAGTAATAATTGTGCCTTGGATAAACCTCATTGGCTATGATACTGCCACTGTGAAAGTTGGATAATAGCTTCTGAAGTCCCTTTGGGAGAAAACAGAAAGCTTTAACAAATGGGATTAAAGCACTAGAGGCAGTGTGTTCCAGAAAGTGTCAAAAACCATGTGTGTGCACATATAGACAGAGCAAACTCAAACTGGGCTTATACACTCACAGTCTGCTTTTCTGTACAATTGTAAGAATAGATAGGTCGAGCCCCATGGAGGTTTGTCATAAACAGCTTCCTAAGGCAGAGGCTGGCAAACTGGTTTCAATAATTCTTTTTTTTTTTTTTTTTTTTTTGAGACATAGTCTCGCTTTGTTCCCCAGGCTAGAGTGAGTGCCGTGGCATCAGCCTAGCTCATAGCAACCTCAAACTCCTGGTCTCAAGCAATCCTCCTGCCTCAGCTTCCCGAGTAGCTGGGACTACAGGCATGCGCCACCATGCCCGGCTAATTTTTTCTATATATATTAGTTGGCCAATTAATTTCTTTCTATTTATAGTAGAGCCGGGGTCTCACTCTTGCTCAGGCTGGTTTCAAACTCCTGACCTCGAGCAATCCGCCCGCCTTGGCCTCCCAGAGTGCTAGGATTACAGGCGTGAGCCACCATGCCCGGTCTGGTTTCAATAATTCTTAACCAAATATATCAGAATGTCGCTGCTAAGCCACATTCTGGTTGTTTCTGAGTTGATTATCCTTGGGCCCTATATTTATGAGTTGACATGCAGTGGGCATTTTGTTTTTGAGGCTGAAAGTGGAAGAGGGGTGGTGCAGTGGTCTCAGAAGTTTAGACAAAGGATTCTGAGAGAGTGGAAGTGGTGACATGGTGAATGGGGCACCCTACTGGGCCTGATGATCTGGTTTAAGGTCCATCAGGAGGCTCAGCTAGAACAGCTTTAGGGCCCAAATGTCAAGGTGCCACACAGAGTGGGTGGGAGAGTCACCTCCTTTCCAATGTCCTCCACAGACTATAATGCAGCCTCTGGCAGAAGACCTCCCTGCTCAGCCAGAAACCTTAGAGCATCTGGGTCAGCCTTGAGGCACACTGGCCAGTAAGCTGGAGTAGGAAGTGTTCTTGAACACCCAGGAGATATCCACCCTTCTACGGGTTTCTTGAAATAGTCATGGAGACTACAAGGGTGGAGCTGAGATCCTGCATACTACATTAATTAAAAAAATATTGATTGAGTTCTCCCTCTGTGCTAGGTACAGAACAGGAACTGTTCTAAGTTCATGAGATATAGAGATAAACAAAATAAAGATCTCTGACCTTATAGAACCTACCTCTTAGGGGGAGACAGACAATGAACAGCAGACACAATAAATACCTAAACGATACAGAATGAAAGAGGGTGACAGATGCTACAGAAAGAAACAGAGCACCTAAGGGGGATGAGGAGTGGCAGGAGGGGGAAGTGGAAGGCAAGTTGCAGTGTTAGAATAATAAGTGTGGGCCGTTTTGAAAAAGGTGATGTTTAAGCCAAGACTTGAAGGACGGTGAAGGAATTAGCCATGTGGATATCTGAGGAAAGAGCATTCCAGGCATATGGAATTTCAAGTTCAAAGGCCCTGAGGCAGAAGAGGGCCTGACAAATCTGAGCAAGACTGAGAAGGCTGGTGTGGCAGTAGCAGAATGTGAAAAGGGAAGGGTAGGGGCCATAGTGGTATCAGTGGCTAGATCCTATAGTCTTGTAGGCCACCATAGGGTCTTTGGCTTTTTTTTTTTTTTTTTTTTTTTTGAGACAGAGTCTCACTCTTTTGCCTGAGTTAGAGTGCCGTGGGGTTAGCCTAGTTCACAGCAACCTCAAACTCCTGGGCTCAGGCAATCCTCTTGCGTCAGCCTCCCAAGTAGCTGGGACTACAGGCATGTACCATCATGCCAGGCTAATTTTTTCTATTTTTCAGTAGAGACGAAGTCTCACTGTTGCTCAGGCTGATCTCAAACTCCTGAGCTCAATCTGCCCGCCTGGGCTTCCCAGAGTGCTGTCTTTGGCTTTTTATCTGAGTGAATTGGGGAAGACAATGAAGTGCTTTCTTTCATTTTATTTTATTTATTTTTTCTTTAGAGACAGGGTCTCACTCTGTCACGAAGGCTGGAGTACGTGGCCTCATCACAGCTCACCATAGCCTCAAACTCCTGGGTTGGAGCCTTCCTCCTGCCTTAGCCTCCCAAGTAGCTGAGACTACAGGTGTAAACCACAATATCTGACTATGAAGTGCTTTAAACAGAAGAATGACATGATCTAATTTAAGTTTTAAAAAGAATCACTCTCCTGGTGTTCTTCTTGCCTCACTGGTCCCTTCTTCTCAGACTCCTTTCTTGGCTCCTCCACTAACTCTCTGAACCTATTAAAGTTGTGATGTCTAACTGAGATTTGGACCCCTGCTTTACTCTATTTGCACTTACTCCCTTGGGATTCCACCCAGTCATAAGTTTTAAATAATATCTATCCAATGATGACTCTCTCCACGGGACCTCTCCACTGAATTCCAGACCTATATATCCAACTGTCTATTAAATATCTCCATTCAATGTCTACTGGACATCTCACACTTAACAAGCTCAACACGAGACTCCTAATCTTTGCCATCTCCCTAACATTTTCCACTCCCTGATCTTCCCCATCTCTGTTAAAGGCAACTCCAGCCACCTAATTGTGGAGTCATTCTCTCCTTTTCTCATGCCCCCTATCCAATCTGTAATCAAATCCTAATGTTTTTAACTTCAAAATATATCTAGAATCAAAACAATTCACATCTCCCCCAATTACTATTACTGCTCTAGTCTAAAGCCACTGCCACCTTTTACCTGTACTAATGCAAGAACCTCCTATGAGTCTCCCTGCTTAGACCTTTCCTCTTCACAATCTATTTTCCACATAGCAGCCAGAATGTTCCTGTTGAAACTAAAACCTAAGTCAGATCATGACACTTCTCTACTCAAAACCTCCTAAAGTTTTTCCATCTCCCTTGGAGTTAACGACAAAAGCTTTTTAGTTGACCACAGATTGCCTGCCCAACTCCCTACCCCCCTTTTCCAGTGCCTAGAACAGAGTTTGGCAAAGAAAATGTGCTAAATACATAATTGCCAAAGAAATGAAGTGTATTTAAGGGCACTATGAATTGAAGAGTATGATTTACTCAAATTTTTTGCATTTGTGGTCCAAAACCAAAACCAACAAAACAACAGATCAAACAAAACAACAAATTTATTTAAAAAAATAAACTCCTCTGGTTTTTCTTTGTTACCTGGATTCAATGTCAGACAAAGAGATGTCACTCCAACTTCTTTCTAAATCCATATCTTGTCCAAGTTCATTGAATTTCTTGTGGATTTCCTGTTGTAAGAGTGCCTTAAGCTCTGCTAGACACTGAGTGAACTGTGAAAGTGAAAAAAAATGATTTTTATAAGTCATTTATTTATTCTTCAAATACTAAGTATATGCTGAAAGGCATTTTATAATTATTTTTTTAGAGACAGTGTCTTGCTCTATCACTCAGGCTAGAGTACAGTGGTGCAATCCTAGCTCATGGCAACCTTGAATTCCTGGGCTCAAGTGATCCTCCCACCTCAGCCTCCCAAGTAGCTGGGACTATAGATGTGCACTGCCAGGTATGGCTAAATTTTTTTTTTTTAGAGAGACAAGATCTTGCTATGTTGCCCAGGGTGGTCTTGAACTCCTGGGCTCCAGTGATCCTCCTGCCTCAGCCTCCCAAAGTGCTGGGACTACAGGTATGAGCCACTATACCAGGCTGGCCCTTTTTTTTTTTTTTTGAGACAGAGTCTCACTCTGTTGCCCCACTCTGTTACTATGGCATCAGCCTAGCTCACAGCAACCTCAAATTCCTGGGCTTGAGCGATCCTCCTGCCTCAGCCTCCCGAGTAGCTGGGACTACAAGCATGTGTCACCATGCCTGGCTAATTTTTCTATATATTTTTAGTTGTCCAATTAATTTTCTTTCTATTTTTAGTAGAGGCGGCATCTCGGTCTTGCTCAGGCTGGTCTCGAACTCCTGACCTTGAGTGATCCTCCCACCTCGGCCTCCCAGAGTGCTAGGATTACAGGCGTGAGCCACTGCCCCTGGCCCAGGCTGGCACTTTATTGCTGGGAACACAAAGATAAATAAGCTGCAACCCATGCTAGTAAGGATATATTAATAGATACATTACATAAGCTGTAGGAACAGATACAAATTTTTTTAGGGCAGAACATCAGTGAGCACTGCTTTAGCCACTTTTCCCTGGCTTTACTTATTTTTTTAGAGACAGGATATTGCTATGTTGCTCAGGCTGGTCTTGAACTTCCAGCCTCAAATAGTCCTGCCGCCTCAGCCTCCCGAGTCACTGGGAGTACAGACATGAGCCACCAGACCCAACATTTCTCTGGCTTTTCTATGGCTATAGACAACTTCTTAATGTAATGCTCTGATTTATTTTTTTGAGTAGCAAGGAGAGAGGTAATTCAGATTTTGGCTTATGGAAAATATGATTTAATGGAATGTATTGTGGCCAAATATAAATATTTTTATTAAATACTTGTATCCAACGTAGTGTACATCAAGTGTTCCCAGGGCCAGCATTTCAGAAGGAGTATAGGAGATGAGTTAGAGACTAAGATGAGTACAGGTCAGGTATGGGGGGGTCATGCCTGTAATCCTAGTACTCTGGGAGGCCTAGGCAGGAGGATCACTTGAGCCTAGGAGTTCAAGACCAGCCTGGGCAAGAGCAAGACCCCATTTCTACCCAAAATGGAAAAAATTAGCAGGGCTTGGCGGTGCGTGCCTGTAGTCCCACCTACATGCTGGAGCCCAGGAGTTTGAGGTTGCAGTGAGCAATGATGACACCACTGCACTCTACCTGGGGTGACAGAATGAGACTTTGTCTCCAAAAAACAAAAAAAAAAAGAAAAAAAGAAAAAAAAGAAAGAAAAGATGAGTACAGACTCCATTTTAAGAAGTTGAGTGATAAGCAGAAATAGAATAGAAATAACCTCCTAGAGAAACAAAGCCATAGGAAACCTTTGTATTTTAGGATAGGGGTAGCTTGAGAAGACTTGCAGTTGAGGAAAAGCAAGAAGAGAAAAAAACTGAGGACACAGAAAAGAGAGGACATAATTAATAAGGTAAGACCTCAAGGAGGCCATAGGGGAAGTTGACAAGTGCACAAAAGGCATGGGTAGTTCTAGAGAAAAGACATCTGATTTTCTGAAATAGGAGAAAAGAATGTAAGAATCTGCGCTGCCATGAGTAAGCTTAGAAGTGAGGGAGAGGTGTGCCAAAGGAATTTCTCCACCTCCTCAGCGAACTATGAGGTCTTGCCATTCCCTGATGGTGTGTATGCTCGGGGCTTATTTTCTTTGATTGTAAAAACTTCAGAAAAATACTAAGAGCAAAATAAAGATCATCTGTAATCCTACTGGGATGACTTTGGACCAATGTGAAACATCACAATAGCATCACCACATTTTTTTTTTTTTTTTAGACAGAGTCTCACTTTGTTGCCCAGGCTAGAGTGAGTGCCGTGGCGTCAGCCTAGCTCACAGCAACCTCAAACTCCTGGGCTCAAGTGATCCTCCTGCCTCAGCCTCCCGAGTAGCTGGGACTACAGGCATGCGCCACCATGCCCGGCTAGTTTTTTCTATATATATTAGTTGGGCAATTAATTTCTTTCTATTTATAGTAGAGACGGGGTCTCGCTCTTGCTCAGGCTGGTTTTGAACTCCTGACCTCGAGCAATCCGCCCGCCTCGGCCTCCCAGAGTGCTAGGATTACAGGCATGAGCCACTGCGCCCAGCCAACATCACCACATTTCTTGAAACCCCATTTTTACCTTGGTTTGGTCAGGATCACAGAAATCAAGAAGAGTGTCACAGACATGATAACCTAGAGATTTCAGATCTTCAATTGTAAAGTGGGTGTCTCTTTTACTACCTGGAAAAAAATCCATAAGCATTTTTAATTAAATCTCAGTGACTGAATGCAAATCTAAGTTATGTAAAATGTCTAATTCTAGAATATTATGCTTCTGGACAGGGTAGCTCTCCTATTTTTAGTTTGGTTCAGAAGGATCTTTGACCATAAAAAAAACTTATAATCAGGCTGGCTATAATTACTGAGGTTTTACTTTGTGGTAGGCCTTATGGCAGGTGCTTTATATGCATTATTTCATTAAGTAATACCTATAATGCAGGTACTATTATTATTGCCAGCTAAAGAAAATGAGGTTCAAAGAAGTTAAGTAATATGCCCAGCATCACACAACTTGTAAATGGAGCTGAAATTCAAACCCATATCTGCCTAATTCCAGGTCTTGAACAAACACTATGGTATACTATTCCATCAAGTACTATATTTCACATTCATATTTTGGGTACTCAAATTTACCATAAGGCTAGACAGGGAAATCCCCTAGATCAGTTATCTCCCCAACATTAAGGTATTTCATCTCCCCAGGTGCTTTGCTTGACTTTCCCTTGCCATGCTGGCCTGTGATATTCAAAGGGGAGCATACCCAGGGTGGACCCGCCAAAGGTAGACTCCACCGTGTAGCTGTTGAGGATCCCCATCCGCCACATCACAACTCGTCCTGTTCCTTCTTTGCACTTCTGGACCTTAAAATTACAACTATGAAAAGAGAACTAAAGAGAAATCCAAATTCTCTGTTAATCATAAACCAGCAAATGTAAAATGTCTAAGACTCATTCATATGATACAAGAATAGTTCCCTTGAGGTCTGTATTTTATTTCCTAAAGCATGTTCCATAAAATATTAATTCTGAGGGGTGTTAATAGGTACTACAGGGAAAGAAGGAGTTCTGTAGTTATGTTAGTCAGGGAGATGAAGGGTTAAGAAAATTAAACAGGCTGGAGTGGTGGCTCACGCCTGTAATCCTAGCACTCTGGGAGGCTGAGGCAGGCGGGCGGATTGCTCCAGGTCAGGAGTTCAAAACCAGCCTGAGCAAGAGTGAGACTCTCTGTCTCTACTATAAATAGAAAGAAATTAATTGGCCAACTAATATATATAGAAAAAATTAGCCAGGCATGGTGGCACACTGGCACATGCCTGTAGTCCCAGCTACTCGGGAGGCTGAGGCAGGAGGATTGCTTGAGCCCAGGAGTTTGAGGTTGCTGTGAGCTAGGCTGACTCCACGGCACTCACTCTAGCCTGGGCAACAAAGCGAGACTCAGTCTCAAAAACAAAAAAAAAAGAAAATTATAGAGAAAAATCAGGCTTTAAAAAAAAATAATAAAAAATAAAAAAGAAAGCAAATATAAATTTTAAAAAATATATGTCAATAAAATTTTAGAAGAAAAAAAATAAAATAAGAAAATAAGAAAAGAAAATTAAACAGGCTTCCTTTGCAAGACCTCTAAGGGCATTTAATATGCTACTGTGGACTGTGGGGGAAGGGAGTATATTTGCATTTTATTTTCCCAATTTAATTACTCATGAACCCTTATTTCCCTTTCCCCCCCTCACTACTCCCCCAAGGAGAATTTTGCAGGTTCCTAGAACATATGGTAGGCATTTAAGACATGAGCCAATCTTTCTAAGACTTACTTTCTGCTACCCCTCCAACTTGAACCCTTAGATCTAGTGGGTTTATTCTCTCTGTATTTGTGTATTCCTTACCCCCATAATCCCTCTCATTCAATATCCTCCACTGTTTTTTATGACCATCCCCCAGCCCTTTCTCTCACATAGAACTTGTAACATATACTTGCCACCTCTCCCTACCTATCCTATCCTACCAAGAAGGTTTCAGTGTCTAGTGATTTTTAAATTGTGCCCTGTGGAATCCAAGGGTTCTAGTGAGGAGCCTCAGAGCATTTCAGCTTCAAGGACTGAGGAGGCAGAGGGGGTCAGGGTTCCAAGCTCTCTCCCCACTTTAATTAGTTTGTTTTACATATGGGTTCTGCATATGATTTCATCTGAAGAAAGGGAGGGAGGGAGGGAGGAAGGAAGAAAAACTTCTATTTTTTTTAAAGCAAGAACAATATAAAATATTTGTCTCATACATCCTCACATGAGAAAATGTACACTATCGTTTAAATACTTTTGTAAATCCAACCTACTTTTTTCTTTCTGAAAGCTACTTTTTTTTTTTAACAGATGGGGTCATTCTCTGTCACCCAGGCGGGAATGCAGTGGTGTCATCATAGCTCACTGTAGCCTCAATCTCCTGGGCTTCAAGTGATCCTCCTGCCTCAGTCTCCTGAGTAGCTGGAATAAGAGGCATGTGCCACGATGCCCAGCTAATTTTTGTATTTTCTGTAGAGACAGGGTCTTGCTATGTTGCTCAGGCTGGTCTAGAACTCCTGGCCTCAAGTGATCCCCCACCTTGGCCTCTCAAAGTGCTGAGATTACAGGTATGAGCCACCATACCTGGCGTGAAGCTACATTTTACAGATCTATTTATAATGCAAAAAAACAACTTCTAAACCAATGCAGATTATCTGTATATGCCCAACCGTTGCAAAGTTGTTAGTAAACTATTTAAAACTTTTATGTTGTTTTTATTAGCTCTTTAATATATTACAGTTATTTGCGATTTTTTTTTTTAATGTAAGAGACAGTCTCACTATGTTGCCCAGTCTGGAGTGCAGTAGCTATTCACAAGCATGATCCCACTACTCACCAGCACAAGAGTGTTGATCTATTCCATTTCCAACCTGGGCCAGTTCACAACCTCCTTAGGCAACCCTGGTGGTCCCCCACTGTCAGGAGGTCAGTATAATGATGCCCAACTCATTGTGAACACCAGATCTGCACAGTGCACCACAGCTTAGAACTTCTGGGCTCACGTCATCTTCCTGCCTCAGCCTCCCCTACAATACCCAGCCATTTGTGATCGTGTATTACATAACATTTTCTTTCTTTTCCTTTCTCTTTCTCTTTTTCTCCTTCCTTCCTTCCTTCCTTCCTTCCTTCCTTCCTTCCTTCCTTCCTTCCTTCCTTCCCTTTCCCTCCCTCCCTCCCTCCTTCCTTTCTTTTTTTTCTTTCCTTCCTTTCTTCCTCCTTTCCTTTTCCTTCCCTTCTCCCTTCCCTTCCCTTCTTTTTTTTTTTGAAAGATATTACAAGTAGTTTTAGTTTTTCCTGGGGATTTTTGGATTTAAAAATTTTTTTTAGAAAGTGTCTCTCTCTATTGCCTGGGCTAGAGTACAGTGGCCTCATCATAGCTTACTGCAACCTCAAACTCCTGGGCTCAAGCGATTCTCTTGCCTCAGCCTCCTAAGTAGCTGGGACTACAGGTAAGCACCACAATGCCCGGCTAATTTTTCTATTTTTTGTAGTGATGATGTCTTGCTAGGTTGCCCAGGCTGGTCTGGAACTCCTATCCCCAAATGATCCTCCCTCACTAAGCCTCCCAAAGTGCTGGGATTACAAGCATGAAGCACTGTGCCTGGCCTACATAACCTTTTCTGTGGAAACTCATATGACATTAGCATTTTGGCTCATCCTTCAATCTCTTCTTCCAGGGCCAACCACAGGATTAAAGGTCATAAGTAACTATCTACTAAGAATTTCAATTTATGCCCAGGTGAAGCAGCCAAAACAATTTCAAAAAATCATCTTTATTGAGATATAGTTCATACACCATAAAATTCACTCATTTAAAGTGCACAATTCTCTCTTTCTGCCATCTTGGAGCCTGTGGAGGTCTCCTGGGAACAAGACTTTTAAAAGGCAAATATGTCTGGAAGGCTGTGGTCAAATGCCATTTTTGCTGGCTATAAGTGCGGTCTCTGGAACCAAAGAGAGCACACAGCTCTTCTTAAAATTGAAGGTGTTTATGCCCGAGATGAAACTGAATTCTATTTGGGCAAGAGATGTGCTTATATATACAAAGCAAAGAATAACACAGTGACTCCTGGTGGCAAACCAAACAAAACCTGAGTAATCTGGGGAAAGGTAACTCAGGCCCACGGAAACAGTGGCATGGTTCGTGCCAAATTCAGAAGCAACCTTCCTGCTAAGGCCATTGGACACAGAATCCGTGTGATGCTGTACCCCTCAAGAATTTAAACTGATGAAAGGTAAATAAATAAAAGTGGAATAAAATAAAATAAAATAAAGTGCACAATTCAATGGTGTAAGTATATTCACAGAGTTGTTCAACCACTGCCACAATCTAAGTTTAGAACATTTTCATAATTCCTCAAAAAAAACAAGTTTTTTGAATAATGAGTACTGCTAAAGTACTGCTAAAGTACTCATTAGCAGTCACTCTTCATTTCACTCTCCCCCCACTAGCCCAGGGCGATCACTAAGCTACTGTCTTTTTCTATAGATTTACTTTTTCTGAACATTTCAAATAATGGAGTCATATATGGTCTCTTGTGTCTGGCTTCTTTCACTTAGTATAATGTATTTAAGGTTCATCCATGTCCTACAGTTCAGTATTTTTAATAACATTCCATTGTGTGAAACTACCAAATTTTATTTATCTATTCATCAATTGATGCTGATAGACACGGGAATTTTTTTTTTTTCTTTTTTTTTGAGACAGAGTCTCACTTTGTTGCCCAGGCTAGAGTGAGTACCCTGGCATCAGCCTAGCTCACAGCAACCTCAAATTCCTGGGCTCAAGTGATCCTACTGCCTCAGCCTCCTGAGTAGCTGGGACTACAGGCATGCGCCACCATACCCGGCTAATTTTTTCTATTTATATTAGTTGGCCAATTAATTTCTTTCTATTTATAGTAAAGATGGGGTCTCGCTCTTGCTCAGGCTGGTTTTGAACTCCTAATCTTGAGCAATCCGCCCGCCTCAGCCTCGCAGAGAGCTAGGATTACGGACGTGAGCCACCGCGCCCGGCCGACACAGAAATTTTTGAAGCCACATCTTTCTAAATTTTTGAAGTCTAGGTTGCTGGCATTTACCCAAAATAATAAAAAGAGATGCAAAGTGCCAAATAATAGCCTGGTGTGGTAGTTCATGCTGTTATCCTAGCACTTTGGGAGGCTGAGGCCAGGAGTTTGAGGCTAGCCTGGGCAACACAGTGAGATCCAATCTCTAAAAAATTTTTTTAAATATCTGGGTGTGGTGGCTGGTACCTGTAGTCCTGTTAGAAGCTGAAGACCCTCAACACCCCTATGACTTGTCCTACACGCGGGCTTCGCCCTGGAAAATACCTAGGACAAAAAAAGCACCCCACCCTCCAGCTATAGCTCCGAAAAGAATGCAGTTCCATGACGTGCTGACCACGAAATGCTCCAGGGTGTGCTAACTGCAATTGTTCCCAACCACCTGCCAGGTTGAGGTTGAGTAATCAGTCACAAACAGCCTCCATACTGATAAGACGATGGTTGGGGCTAATTAGCCCAAACCCAAGCCTCATCGTCACCCCACTCTATTTTTCTGTTTCTACTTCCTTGTTTCTGTATGTTTATAAAACCTACAAAGAATCTAAGTAAAGTAGACCTTGACAACCATTTGCTTGGTCTCATTCCTTTCTCTCGCCCATCTCTTTCAGGCATGGTCCCCCTTAACCCCCACGAGTAACAGAAGGTCCCGCGGGCCGGGACATAGTCCTAGTTACCCAGGAGGCTGAGGCAAGAGGATCACCTGAGCCCAGGAGTTTGAGGCTGTGAAGAGGTATGATTAAGTGACTGCACTCTAGCCTAGGTGACAGAGCAAGACTCTGTCTCAAAAAGAAGTGCTAAATAAAATAAAACAATATAGGCCAGGCGCAGTGGCTCATGCCTGTAATCCTAGCACTCTGGGAAGCCAAGGTGGGAGGATCGCTCAAGGTCAAGAGTTTGAGACCAACCTGAGCACGAGCAGACCCTGTCTCTACTAAAAATAGAAAGAAATTAATTGGCCAACTAAAAATATATAGAAAAAAAATTAGCCTGTCATGGTGGCTCATGCCTGTAGTCCCAGCTTCTTGGGAGGCTGAGGCAGAAGAATTGCTTGAGCCCAGGAGTTTGAGGTTGCTGTGAGCTAGGCTGATGCCACGGCACTCTAGCTTGGGCAACAGAGTGAGACTCTGTCTTAAAAAGTAAAAACAAACAAACAAAAAAACACTATATAAAGGAAGCAGTGAGTTCCCTTTTCCCTCAGTCAATGGATATAAAATTGTCTTATGAGCTTACCTTATCTGGTGCATTTTTGCTTAACATTAAAGGGAAGACTCGCTCATGAAGCCAGTACTTGCGATTGTTGTTATTACAGCCATATAAGAAGATATTATTCTTACGGCTGTGGCCATGGAAATCACAATACAAGAGAACCTCTCTTTCTTCAAGAAGTCTATTGAGGAGAGGGAAACAAAGGACTCAGTGGACGATCAAATGCATGCAAATAATCAAGGATTATGTGGAATGTGTTCCTTAAGTATGGCTGTCGATACCTTCCCTCCTAAGAAAATCTCAACTTCAATGGCTTTCAATGGACCCTATCCCCATCCTTAGCCATTGCTAAAAACATGTCACCAGCATGTCTTATCCTTGTTAATCAGAGGAACTTGAAATGGAAAAGCTCTGATATGGAAAGGGAAGATGAGCAGGCCTTGTGTAAGCTGACAAGGAAGTGGGGCAAGCCTATTGAGAAAAAGCCCACCCTGGAGCAGACCTGTGAAGAGAAGGAGGGAGGCAGAGAGGCCACAGCTGCAGGAAAGAAAAAGAACCAAAGCAAGCCTTGGTTCTGACTTTCCAGGGCCAGTTCCTACAAGGCTCAGCTCTTTGTCTTCTCATCACCCAGGACGCCTATTCCCACTGTTCAAACATGTTCACTTTCTCCATGATAATGATGGTAAGATGAAGAGGATAAAAACAATAATGCTACATATTTATAGTGTACTGGGTACTATGCTAAATATAATGGATCACATGGATTATCTCATTTAATCCTCACAGTAACCACCCACAACAGGTATTATTATTGCCATTCTACAGATGAGAAAGCTGAACCTCAGAGAGGTTAAATCAGTTAGCCAAGGCCACACAACCAGCCAGCAGCAAAACTAGGTCTCAAATCCAGGCCTGACTCCCAAACTCATGCACACCAGCCCAACACTACTCCCTGCATTTACATAGGATGGTTACAAGGTGTGCATATGCCCATATTCTCATGTGGTGTGAATGAAGAAAGTTCCTTCAAGGTAGGTGCTATTGAACGCTATAGCTGTCAATTGCTTTAACACAGGCTTGAAAATTGCTGACTGATTTTATTCTTTCTTCATGAGAGGCAATATAAGATAGTAATAAGGAACTCAGACTCTAGAACCAGAGAGCCTGTGTTTAAATATCTACTCTGTCACTTATTAGCTCTATGACTTCATACAACATAGGATATTGATTGTGGATCTTACGTGTTAAGCACTGAGAATAGTGCTTGTCACTTCATATATAAGGACTAATCGTTACTTACTATTAGTATTACACAAGTCTCATTACAAACACCTATGAGATCCCTTGAACTCTGACCTTTTCCATTTAATTGTTTCACTTATAAGTGAAATGACCCTAGCTAAAATGCTGCATGTTCAATTTCAACCCAAAGATAAGACGTGATTTAAAAGTCTGAAAATTAACCCACTTGACTGCAAAGACTGGTAAAGACTCTGTCTCCACCACAACTGATTCCTATAACAGCAGAGGAGACCTCATACCCCATCAGATAGGGATATCTGGTGCTAGTGCTCACAGCATTCACAGAAAGATCAACAGATAAAGGTCTTACCTTTTGATCATGTTCCTAGTGTACCAAATGCAAGGGAAAGTCTCCTTCAGAACGGTTTTATAATGCCTGTTCAAGTCCCTTCCGGCCAAAGAACACCGATAATTTCCCACAATCACACCGTCTGGATTTAACATGGGAATCACCTTGAAGACAAAGATATCTCTGAGGAGCTGGGCATCTGGGGAGTTGCTAAGGATGAAGTCCAAAAAGCCTTTCATAACCCAGGAGCCATTACTTTCCCCAGGGTGGACTCTGGCACTCAGGACCACAGCTTTCTTTGCAGCTGCTTCTTGAGGGGTCTGGGATGGATTGGTGATGGTGAGCAGGTAGACTGTATTTCCTGCTAGGCTTCTGCATAAAGTTCGGAGCTTGCAGAACCGAGACTGCATGGGGTTGTTTGCCACTGACAGGAGGTAGCATTGCAAATTGGTGTATGTATATGGGTAGAAGTGTGCGAAGAAACAAGTGTCGTGGTCATGTGGAAACTGAATGGTCCATGTGAGACAGTAGAACGGCTGCTGCCCGTCATCTGTGTTGTTCTTATAGTATTTGATTTCACTTCCTTCTCTCCTCCAGCCAATGTTGTGGATGTTGGCATCCAACTGGGAGTACATGAGTGGCTTCATCCCTACCGTATAAAGGCTCTTGGGTTTTAGCAAGTTGATGATGGTGAAGCGATAGGTGGCATCTTTTCTGGTGTTCTGAACCCGAAAATAAAACCACTGAGTGTGTTTGTTTGTGTAGAGGTCAGTCCGCAAGGTGAGTTCATATTCATAGGTGTCTCTGTAATAGGGAAAATAGAACATGTTCGTAAACTCACACTCTCCTCAAAAACAAATCTGGGAAAATATTGTTTTAACCTGGTAAAAACAGATCTTATTACAATAGGAAAACCAGCTACATCAAATATTTATTTTCTAACTTAGTTCTCCAACTCACATACACTAGTAGAAACTTGGGGAAGGAAAATTTATTTGAGATAGAGAAGAGTCTCAAAACGTACTGCTGCATAGAGTGTTTGGAAGTTCTGTGAGCTTCTTGGTGTTTTTCTAGAGTGCTCAGTAGCAGTTTCTAACCACTGCAGTATATTTATCTGAAACACACTGAACAGTAAGCGGGGCCAGGGTCCTCTTTTGGCTGCTAGCATGTCCATCTTAGAGATCACTGCTGTGTTGGCTGGGCATGGTGGCTCATGCCTGTAATCCTAGCACTCTGGGAGGCTGAGGCAGGAGGATCACTTAAGTTCAGGAGTTTGAAACCAGCCTGAGCAAGAGTGAGGACACCCCCCCTCCCCAGCCCTGTCTCTACTAAAAATAGAAAAAATTAGCTGGGTGTGGTGGAACACGCCTATAGTCCCAGCTACTCGGGAGGCTGAGGCAGGAGGATTGCTTGAGCCCAGTTGTTTTTTGTGGGGGAGGGATAGAGTCTCACTATGTTGCCCAGGCTACAGTGAGTGCTACGGCATCAGCCTAGCTCATAGCAATTGAGTCCAGAAGTTTGAGGTTGCTGTAAGCAAGGTTGACACCATGGCATTCCAGCCAGGCAACAGAGCAAGACTCTGTCTCAAAAAAAAAAAAAAAAAAAAGATAAGGAGGTATATGAATGGTTTTGCCATAAACACCTAAAATTTATTAAGAGCAAAAAAAAATTGCAAAACAATGTGTGTATATTACCTAATTTTTATTTTTAAAATATATAATTTGTGTATATTACATATATATATATATATATACACAGAAAAAAATTAAGGGATATACACCAAACTTTAGTAGTTGTTGCACCTGGGAAATGTGACTATAGGACTTTTTATGTTACGTACTTTTACTATTAATAAAACGCATTTTAAATGAGCTCTAATTTCTTTTATAAGCTGAAGAAACAATTTAGATGATCTTTTATTCTGGGGAAAAACATGAGTCATAATTATTTCGTGCTTCTTCTTCATCCTCATAACCACTTCCCATCACCTCTCTCTTTTTTACAAACGCTCCTGATTCCAATATTGTTCCTGAGACACCTCTAAGTCACTCCAATTATCATCCCTTTGGGAAATTTCTTGTTACTTACACTCTGACAGCTTTTTGCAGATTCCCACTCTCAAACCTTGATTCAAACAACAGAGTATTATCTTCTGGTCCTTGCAACGTGACAGCAAGTTCCTTGATACTTCCTCGTTTGCCTCCCACTCTGGAACTGGTGAAATAGGAACCTTCTGTGGGCAATGCAGATAAAATAGACATATTTTGGCCAGGTTCCATTCAAAAATCCATTCATTCAGCAATTATTTACTGAGCCCTTGTATGTAGTTAGCACTATTCTAGGCTAACAACAATGAATATTCAAATTTTCAATTATCCTTGCTGAGACTTTTAATTTTTTTCTAGTATAATACATATAATTTTTTGGTATACCCTTTAGGATTTAAATAAAACAAAAAAGAATTAGCATGGGAACCAAAATATGATAGTTATTAGTGAAAACAAAAGGTTATGATTGGCATTTTACCTGTAAGACGAAGCTAAAACAAAAAATTATGAAATCTATTTTATCTTATTTTATACAATTTAGGTTATAATCACTACCTCTTTCTAATCCTTGGAATAAACAATCAATTATTGATTTTTTTAATTGTGTTGTAATTTTTCAGACAAATTCATGAGGAATGCCATATGACAGCTTCAATTTTTGTAGTTACTTTTGCAAAACCATTTTAGGGCTTCATAGTTTTTCCAAGGGCTTCTTTCTACCTCACTACATATATGTATGTATGTGTATGTGTGTATATATATATATATATATTTTTTTTTTTTTTTTTTTTTTGAGACAGGATCCAAAACTCTTGTTTGTTCCCGAGCAGCCTCAGTACAGCAGTTGTTCATTCACACGCCCACTGCAACCCCTCGAATCACTGGCTTTAAGTGATCGTCCTGCCCTTCATCCTCCCTGAGTAGCTGGGAGTAATAGGCCATGTTGCCCACCCATGCTTTGGCTAATTTTTTCAATTTTTTTGCTAGAGGGCGGTCCTCAAAACTCCTCCTTGCAACGTGATCCCTTGCCCTCCTTTTGGCCAGCCTAATGCTTAGGAATTAATACGGTGGTGATAGTAAAGCGGCCAACAAATATTCCCTTAATTTGTGGCAAAGCCAAGAGGAAGCGCCTAATTTGTCAATCTTTTTTTTTTTTTTTTTTTTTTTTTTTTTTTTGAGAGCAGAAAAGTCTTCGCTTGTTTGCCCAGGCTACGAAGTGAGTGCCGTTGGCGTCACCCGCGTAGCTCACAGCACTCAAACTCCTGGGCTCGATGAATCCCTTCTGCCTCAGGCCTCCGGTAGCCTGGGAAATACAGGCCATGCGCCACTATGCCCCGGCTAATTTTTTTTTTTATATATAATTATCAAATTTTGGCCAATTTAATTTTCTTTCTATTTAATGTAAAGAAACCGGGTTTCTCGCTCTTGCCTTCAGGCTGGTTTTTTTTTTGAAAACTCCCTGAACCTTGAAGGGCAATCCGGCCCGCCTCGGCCTCGCAAAGCTAGATACAGGCCGTCGAGCCAATTTTGTCATCTTTTATTTTTATTTTTTTTCCTGTCCCTACTTGAAGGAAACTGTTGTTCTGTTTTTAAAAGACAAAAGATTTTAATATTGATCTGAAGAGAAACCGACAGTAATATTTTTTGTTCATAATTTTTTTGTTTTGATTTTTTCTCTTGTTTTCAGCCACCATTTAAACTTGAAAATGAAAAAAGTTTTCTTTTTTAGAGCCTCATCTTCATTTGTCAATGGCTTTATAAATGATTCAAGCAGCTTCTTTTTCACACATTCCAGCATTTCCAATAATGCTGCTTCTCCTGTAATCACAAATTTTCCAACTTGCAATTAATTTGTTTAGCTGCAATCTGCATCCCACATTGTTCGTGTTAAACAATAATCCCACTAATAACTAAGAGAGATTGATATCAAAGATGTTAACCATGGCGCAGTATAGATCCTATCATGAAACAAACAGTAATGTTTGTACAGGGTCTGATTTTATAATTAGCTAGTTCATTAGTAAACATGTCCATATTTTGATGACTTTTGCTTCCACATGCAACCTTGTCACTGTGGAGACTTAGATAATAAACACTTGGATAATAAACTAAAACAAAGGAGAAAGCAAACATGCAAAGAAGTGAGTGAAAGAAAACAAGCATAGAGGAAACAGGAGCAGAAATAGAAGCAAGGGCACATATGATCCAATTAAAAGCTGGAGTCCCATGTGATTCAGTCTCTTCCAGGAACTACAAAGTACAGATTAGCAACCAAATGTCACTAATATAGGCACTTCAATATTTTCTTGAGACGTTGAAGAAACATGTAAGGTGATGCAAATTATAGCCTACAATAACATTTCTCAAAAAATAAAGCCTCTTTCCTTTTTTCCCAATATTTTCACATAGTTGTTCTGGAACCCTTTAAACTGACAAACACCAGAATTCTCCTTGGAGCCTCATCTTCTCAGTTTTTATTTCTTCATTCTTTTAATAGGGTGGGCTCAACTCTTCTTCTTTTTTTTCTTTTTGAGACATTGTCTCACTTTGTTGCCCAGGCTAGAGTGAGTGCTATGGAGTCAGCCTAGCTCACAGCAACCTCAAACTTCTGGGCTCAAGCAATCCTGCTGCCTCAGCCTCCCGAGTAGCTGGGACTACAGGCATTCGCCACCATGCTTGGCTAATTTTTTTCTATATATATTACTTGGCCAATTAACTTCTTTCTATTTACAGTAGAGATGGGGTCTCACTCTTGCTCAGGTTGGTTTCAAACTCCTGAACTCAAACCATCCGCCCACCTCGGCCTCCCAGAAAGCTAGGATTACAGGTGTGAGCCACCACCCTGGCCTCAGATAATTTTTTAATGATGACAAAGGATGCCTTTGTGGGCAGCTCCCCTACCTCCCCGACATCCATCCCTATTGTCAACTTGTCATCCTTTTATTCAAATTTAGTTCCCCTCTCCCCCTCAGGAAGGTTCCTATTACATTCTTTGGCTCATTGCTCTTTAGCATTATGTCCCCTTTGTTCTATCCGAAATGGTACTGTTACCACCTGCTCAACAACCTCCCCAGCACTTGTTATTGTATATCTTTTTTTATATCTATTCTAGTAGGTATGAAAAATTATCTCATGGTTTTAATTTTCACTTAACAACTAATGATGTTGAGCATCTTTTCATGTGCTTAAAAGCCACTTGTATATATTTTTTGGCTAAATATCTATTCAAATCTCTTGTCTATTTTTTAGTTGGGTTGTCTTATCATTGATCTTGCATACAATGTATCAAATATATGATTTGCATATCAAATGTATGATTTTCGTCTATTCTCCCAGTCTGTGGTTTGTCCTTTTTTTAATAGTGTCTTTTGAAGAACAAAAGTTATAAATTTAAATGAAATCCAACTATATCAATCTTTCTTTTATGATTGTGCTTTTCATGTTGTATCTAGAATCTGCCAAATCCAAGGTCATGAAGACTTATCCCTGTTTTAAATATCTTATTGTTTTAGGATTTATATTTAGACCACTGATCCATTTTGGGTTAATTTTTTTTTTTGAGACAGAGTTTTGCTTTGTTGCCCAGGCTAGAGTGAGTGCCGTGGCATCAGCCTAGCTCACAGCAACCTCAAACTCCTGGGCTCAAGCAATCCTACCGCCTCAGCCTCCCAAGTAGCTGGGACTACAGGCATGTGTCACCATGCTCGGCTAATTTTTTCTATATATATTAGTTGGCCAATTAAATTCTTTCTATTTATAGTAGAGACGGGGTCTCGCTCTTCCTCAGGCTGGTTTCGAACTCCTGACCTTGAGCAATCCCGCCTCGGCCTCCCAGAGTGCTAGGATTACAGGCGTGAGCCACTGTGCCCGGCCTAATTTTTAAAATATGGTGTGAAGTAGGGATTCTACTTGATTCTGTTGCATGTGGATATCCACCTGTTATTGCATCATTTTTTCAAGAGACCATTCTTTCTCCATTGAATGGTCTTGCCACCTTTGCTGAATGAATATTAACTGATCAAAAATGTGTAAGTTTATTTCTAGACTCTCAATTCTATTCCGTCAATCTATATGCCTATTACTGTGCCAGTGCTATACTGTTTTTTTGGGTTTTTTTTAATACTGTATTATATTTTTATTGAGTGCTTGGTATTTATAAAAAATAAACTAAGGGTGTTTCATGTACTGTCTTGTTTAATCCCCATAATAACTCTATGATATAACTACTATAATTATTCCTATTTTATAGATTAGAAAACTGAGAAATATTTAAGTTAAATGAATTTTCCCAAGATTTTTTTTTTTTTTTTTTTGAGACAGAGTCTCACTTTGTTGCTCAGACTAGAGTGCTGTGGCACCAGCCTACCTCACAGCAACTTCAGACTCCTGGGCTCAAGCAATCCTTCTGCCTCAGCCTCCCGGGTACCTGGGACTACAGGCATGTAGCACCATGCCTGGCTAAATTTTTTCTACATATTTTAGTTGGTCAATTAGTTTCTTTCTATTTTTAGTAGAGATGGGGGTCTCGATCTTGCTCAGGCTGGTTTCGAACTCCTGATCTTGAGCGATCCTCCTGCCTTGGCCTCCCAGATAGGTAGGATCATAGGCGTGAGTCACCGTGCCAGGCCTATACTGTTTTTTTAAAATTTTTTTTATTTCAGCATATTATGGAGGTACAAATGTTAAGGTTACGTATATTGCCCATGCCCCCCTATAGTAGTTTTTTCTTTTTTTTGAGACAGAGTCTTGCTTTGTTGCCTAGGCTAGAGTGAGTGCCGTGGCATCAGCCTAGCTCACAGCAACCTCACAATCCTGGGCTCAAACAATCCTGCTGCCTCAGCCTCCCAAGTAGCTGGGACTACAGGCATGTGCCACCATGCCCCGATACTTTTTTCTGTATATATTAGTTGGCCAATTAATTTCTTTCTATTTATAGTAGACACGGGGTCTGGCTCTTGCTCAGGCTGGTTTCGAACTCCTGAGCTCCAGCAATCTGCCCAGAGTGCTAGGATTACAGGCGTGAGCCACGGTGCCCAGCCTATACTGTTTTGATTACTATACTTTTGCAGTGTTTTGAAATTGGGAAATATGAGTCTTCCAACTTTGAACTTGTTTTTCAATATATTGGCTATTCAGGGCCCCTTACAATTCCATATAAATTTGAGGACCAGCTTTTCTATTTCTG